GATGGTGTCTTCCGTCGTTGGAAAGTATGCCGTGAGTAGTGTGTCCAAAGTCTCGGCTTCGTTGCCACATATAGTACCGTCCGGTCGTTTGATAGACTTTAGCGGTGCGTAGACTTGTTTTTTCGTTCGAAGCATTTTGTATACGGCTCCCCATGGATCGCGTTCACTGTCAACGGAACAGAAGTCTTGAAAAGTCTTGTGTTTAGACTTCATCATTTCGATGCGGTACGTATGATAGGCTTTCTTGAAGTCTTCCTTCTTCTGTTCGTAGTTTGTCTTTGCTCTGTTCATTCGGCGGCGTAGTCGGTTGGCTTCGTGTCGTAGAGTGGTAAGTGTTGAAGTCCACCACTTGTTTGAGTATATCGTTGGCCTGTATAGAGGGATAGTTTTCCGAGTTATTGCTTCGATGTTTGTGAAGTAATAATCGGTTATTTTCTCTATGTGTTCGGCTGTTGTTGCGGAGGCAATGAGTTGACCAAATGTTGGTTTCATTGCGTTGATTTTGGCGTCAAATTCTGTCCAATTAGCCTTTGATGTGTTGAAGCGCTTAGCGTTTGCGCGAATGTCTTGTGGTTTTTCGGTAGTCCATAATGTCATTTGGATGTACATATGATCGCTGAGTGTTATGTCCTCAAGTACTCTCCAATCGGTTGATCTTCGGGCCAAGTTTTGCGTAACAAGTGTTACGTCGATGAAACTGGTGGCCGATGTTGTTTGATGTTGATATGTTGGTGTTGTGCAGTCGTTAAGCAATACTAGATCTTCGGTTGCGATGAAGTCCGATACTGCAGCGCCTCTTTGGTCTTCTTCATTGGCGCCCCATGCGGGTGAATAGGCGTTGGTGTCAATTCCGATAATAGCCGTCTTTTGTAGTGTAAGTATATTTTGAAGCTTTTGTATGTCTTCACTGTTTGATTGATTGTGTCGCGGCTTTCCTTTATGATAAGCGCTGACAAAAGTGATTGATTCGGATGCGGTAGAGATGGTGGCTGTTGTTATATGCTCATTGGATAAGTTTTCGTTGAAGTATAGCGATAGACTTGGATTGTTAACGGCAATAGCGGTCTTGTTATTGCCGCAGACTCGCATAGTCGGCAAGCCGACCACACGAGAGCCTTGAGCAGTGGGTTCTTGAATGAGAAGTATATCCCATTTCCGTTCTTGAGCTATTCGATGGAGTTGTGCGGTGGCGGCGTGTGAGTGGTTAAGGTTGACTTGAATGACGGTAAGTTTGTGGAGTCGTTGATCTTCTGTAGCGTTAGCATCCATAGTTGGTTCTGTTGAATTCGGCTTCTTTGTAGGCGGAGAGCATCGGACAGTTGTTTGAGATGGCGGAGTGGTCGGTCTTGTGTTTGTTTTTGTTCAGACGTTTGTTTTCTGCAGTGCAGTTTGCACAACAGACTTTGGTCTTGTCGTTGGCAAGTGGACAGAGGACTTCTTTGCTGTTTCGGTAGGCGTGGTTTCCGGCACAGTGTGAACACGCAATTGTGTGTTTGCACTTGTTTTCGGTTCCGTTAGACTTGTGTACAGCTCTGTGGCCAAGTCCACAGCAGTTGTAGCATCGGGTAATGAGTATGTGGTCTTCAACGGAACATGAGTACCAGCCGAACTTGATTTTTTCGAGACTTCGTAACACTTTGCAAAGCGCTGGAGAGACGTCAAACACTATTGAAATGAATTCCTGTTTTTCGCGGAGTTTTGGGTGAAAAATAGGTTTGAAGTCGGCTTTGAATGCGGTTATATCGGTGTATTTCATTGAGATGGCGGCATTTTGTTGGAAGACTTTTTCAATAAAGTCTTTGTCTTCGGTATCTTTGGGAATATTGTGGACAATAACGCGTGGATTGCGTTTCTTCGGTGATCGGATGGTGTAGTTGTCGGTGAATGTTTTAGTCCCCATTAGTTTGTCTTTAAGTGTTTTTAAGTCATTGCCTGTATTAAGGGCAACAGTGACTTTGCCGTCTTTTCCTTTGCGGCGGTGATGAATGCCGATTCCCATTAGAACCGGGTCGATAGCGGTGTTGAGATCAGATTTGGTTTGGTCGCTGTCCTTGTGTGTCTTCGGTTCAATCACAATTGGATAGTCAATTGTGGCATTTTTGGCGGCGATGTCAGCGAAAGTCTTCGGTGTTTTCGGCACTTTWGTTGTTGTTATTGAGGCATTATTGATGCCTTTTGGGAGTGCTTCGGCAATCATATGCGGTAAGTTCTTAAGTGTTGACTGTATTTCCGCTATGGCGTCTTCGTGGTCACCGAGTCGGCTGCCAATAACGGTAGATGTATGTGCAGCGGCTGCAGCAGCGATGGCGGCTTTTTCGGCTAAGTATATCAAAGCCTTGTATCGCCTGGTGAATCCTCTGATGATATCCTTCTTCGGTTGTCCTATTGCGTTCAATTCTGTAAGCCACGTGTCCAATTCATTGTCRATCTCTTGGATTTCTTGAGCGGTTGCCGTGGGGTCGTACTTTATGTCCAGAATACTTGGAAACTCTTGTGTACGTGCGATTTTTGATGTGTAAATAACGTCCATAGGTGAGTGGTCCGTTGAGTTGTGACGTCTTTTGTTGTTGAGARAGGGCGTTGTTCCTTTGGCAGACATATTGGAGTGAAAAATAAARTAAACAAAGAAAATGGCGGATTAATAATTGGGTAATTAAAGGGTTTTTGGCCGATATGGGCCGAGTCCTGAGACACTCGCTTTCCGAACAACACAAAAATGTGTTCAGAATAGCGATGAAAAAGTGTTGAAAGCGGTGAGTGTTCCGTATAGTTGTCCAAAAGCGGTAAATATCGSCTCCAATATTGTTAGGCTTTGAAAACGCAATGAATTGCAGTTTTGAAAAGACTTTTTCGGCTGTATTTGGCCAATCTTTCGGCGGATTTTCTTCAGACACACCAAATTGTGTTCAGTAAGGCGATGTGGTAACGATAGGAGCGGTGGGAGGTCAATACCATTGACCAGATCGGCGGTATACGGCGGTAAGCATAAAAATACTTAGAAAAATTTTGAGAGAAATGAGTGCAATAGCAATGCGACTGTACTCATTGAAAGCTCAGAGAGAAGTGAGGGTTCGGTTCCGGAGAGCGAGCCTGAGAAACGGCTAGCACATCCAAGGAAGGCAGCAGGCGTGCAAATTACCCAATCCCAGAACGGGGAGGTAGTGACGAAAAATAACAATACGAGACTCTTATGAGGCCTCGTAATTGGAATGAGAACAATGTAAAACTCTTAACGAGGATCTATTGGAGGGCAAGTCTGGTGCCAGCAGCCGCGGTAATTCCAGCTCCAATAGCGTATATTAAAGTTGTTGTGGTTAAAAAGCTCGTAGTTGGATCTCAGTTCCTAGTCAGACGGTCCACTTGCCAGTGGCTACTGTTTGGCTGAACACTTTACCGACCTTGTCCTATGGTGCTCTTCACCGAGTGTCATAGGCGATCGGTACGTTTACTTTGAAAAAATTAGAGTGCTCAAAGCAGGCGTCAGTGCCCGAATAATGTTGCATGGAATAATGGAATAGGACCTCGGGTTCTATTTTGTTGGTCTTCGGAGCATGAGGTAATGATCAATAGGGACAGACGGGGACATTCGTATTGCGGAGCTAGAGGTGAAATTCTTGGACCTTCGCAAGACGAACTAAAGCGAAAGCATTTGTCAAGAATGTTTTCATTAATCAAGAACGAAAGTTAGAGGTTCGAAGGCGATCAGATACCGCCCTAGTTCTAACCATAAACGATGCCGACCAGTAATTCGCCTGAGTTCTCTAAATGACTCGGCGAGGGACTTCCGGGAAACCAAAGTCTTTCGGTTCCAGGGGAAGTATGGTTGCAAAGCTGAAACTTAAAGAAATTGACGGAAGGGCACCACCAGGAGTGGAGCCTGCGGCTTAATTTGACTCAACACGGGAAAACTCACCCGGCCCGGACACTGGAAGGATTGACAGATTGAGAGCTCTTTCTTGATTCAGTGGGTGGTGGTGCATGGCCGTTCTTAGTTGGTGGAGTGATTTGTCTGGTTAATTCCGATAACGAACGAGACTCTAGCCTACTAAATAGATTGCCGACTTATAACGTCGACAACACTTCTTAGAGGGACAGGCGGTGTTTCAACCGCACGAAACAGAGCAATAACAGGTCTGTGATGCCCTTAGATGTCCGGGGCCGCACGCGCGCTACACTGAAGTGATCAGCGTGCATTCAAAAACCTACTCTGTCAAGAGTGGGGAACCCAATGAACCTTCTTCGTGATTGGGATAGGGGATTGTAATTATTCCCCTTGAACGAGGAATTCCCAGTAAGCGCGAGTCATTAGCTCGCGTTGATTACGTCCCTGCCCTTTGTACACACCGCCCGTCGCTACTACCGATTGAATGTTTTAGTGAGGTCTTCGGACTGGCCGGTGCAGCTGCTCTTGTAGTGGCAGCGCTGTGCTCGGAAAGATGCCCAAACTTGAACATTTAGAGGAAGTAAAAGTCGTAACAAGGTTTCCGTAGGTGAACCTGCGGAAGGATCATTACCGTATGTTGTAGAGTTTAACTCATACACAAACGGCAATTTGTTGAACGCAAAAGTCGCTCAATCGATAGATAAGCGGCAAACATATCCCAAACGGTACATAACCGTTCATAGGTGATCACAAGGTACACAACAACAACAACAACAGTGTAACTGTTAGGTGTTGTGTATGAGAGCGACCGATCACCACTGAATATGAACACTTTAGTACCGGTGTTTGTCTGCAAAAAACACAAGACAAGTCATGAGGTGTCTAATCTGAGCAATGCCTACACACCGTCAAAGTGTGAGCACTTTGTCGCTATCGGCGTCAAAGTCGGGCTACAGAGTGATAGTCATAGGGTGCGCCCAAAGACTGTCGCTAGGCTTAATTATTGTGAGCGGTCTATGATCGTAAGCAATGCCGTAAAGACTTGACTTGTGTGTGCGCTTTAAGTTGAAAAACTTGTGCCTTTGATAACAATTGATAAAAACACAATGTGCAGTAC